CACAAATCCAGTGCCATCTGACGGCATAGTGAATATCCGTATCACTCCTGACTTAGTACTAAGGAAACTAAGGAAACGTCCAGGTAAATCACCAGGTTGTGACAAAATTCGCCAAACAGTCTTGAAACAATGTGTAGAAGTCCTCTGTTCACTGATATGTGACCTGTTCAGGCATTCCCTGGATTCACACCAACTCTCAGCTGAATGGAAACAAGCTACTCTCCCCTCAATCTTAAAAGTAGGAGATAGGAAGGACCCAGCCTGTTACAGACCAGTCTCATTACTACCAATACTATCAAGGGTAATGGAAGGGCTGGAGAACGAACAAATGGGGGAGTACATGGATAAGAATAAAATACTCCATGGAGCTCAACACGGTATCCGGAAAGGCAGGTCGTGCGCATCTATTCTTCACATAGCACGTGACTGTGTGAACATCGTGCCTGGAACCGAAAATACCGTTGCATGTAATATTTCTCGACTCTGAAACAGCCTTCGACACGGTACCCCACGCACGCCTAATCACAAAGGTTGTGGAAATGGGCCTCGCTGACCCACTTGTATCTTGGCTGAGAAAGTACCCTGAGAGTAGAAAGTTTCGTACAAAGGTAAATAGAGTGCCCGCGAGCTGGCTAGTATCCACATCTAGAGTTTCACAGGGGACCATTTTAGGTCCACTTCTCTTTCTGATATTTATTAACAACCTGTTAGGCTCAGTTAGCTCACTGGCATTGATCTACGCAGACGATGCGAAGATCTGGAGGTCCATTAGAAGCGAAGAGGATTTGACTGAGCCTCAGAAGTACCTTACACCTACTGAGGAATGGGCAGTGAAAAAAAGGTTTAAAACTCAGCCAACCGAAGTGTCACGTCATGAACATTCTGCCCCACATTACGAAAACGATTTACATCCTCAATGGAGCTCCGCTCCCTAATGTCTCCTCAGAGCACGATCTCGGTTTAACAAACCACAGAAAGCCTCCACACAAGCCCGAACTATATAGGGGACGCAGCCAAGGTAAATGCGACTCTTCACTTTATGCGAAGACAACTTGGCGTTATTACCCCACAGTTATTCTTAACGTTATTTAGGGGATGCACGTGCCCACACATGGAGGTTCAGAACGTCATCGCACCCCTCTGCTTAAAAGAGACTTACATCTTATGGGCAGAGTGCAGAGATCAGCAACGAAATGGGTGACAGGGTTCAAGAAAAAACCTTACGAAGATGGACTCGGGCACTCGGTATGATTCCTACTGAGTTACAGGAGGATCAGTGATCTGATTATGGCGTACGACATATTAAGCTCGCCGAACCATCCCAACGTGAACATCACCACCACTGTCCTCGAGGGAATCCTCAAAAAATTGCGCATCAAAGAGCGAATACTCAGGTTTGTGCACACCTTTTCTCATTGGGAGTCGTCGCAACTTAGAATGCTTTCCGAGCCGAGGTGACCACAGCCCCCTCAGTCGACAGCTTTAAGAAGAGACTTGACAATCACATGCTCACATAAGGATTACCATCTCCCTCTTGGACAAGCTGTGCCTGGCGCATGTCCTGAGACCTGCTAGTTGTTACCACTGCCATCTCCTCAGATCACTCAATTGACCTATCTCGCCTATTATCTCTGTTTCTTCTCCCTTACTTACACTTCGATCCTCTATCACAATCTTCGCTACCAATTAATAAACCAAATTATCAATATCTTACTTAGTTCTGAAATCTTATTCATATTAGCATTAGAATTTTCTCCTTATTATTATCCACATTGCAACTAACTGATCTTCGGCCTGGTAATGTGTTAGCTGCTGGTATCCAGAAACTCTACTGCCCTGAAACAAACGTATTCATCCAAATCACGGGACATACAAACGCACAAACAACTGCCAAGTGACTAGAACTAGGCAGTCGAGTGGCTAGACCCCCATTCACTGGACACTACCGAACCCCTGGAACCGTGCCGGAGGAACAAGAATCGAGTGCAAAGACTAGGTTTATACTGGCTATTAAAAGAGAGATTGGATATTGATTGTTTGCAAGTAGAAGGTCATCGCTACAGTCTCCAATCAGAAGCGCAGTTTACGACTTTAAATCCACATGCTTTCCTAGAAACTGTAAGTCTGCTGTAGATAATGCCAAGTTCATAAATTTTTATTACTCATAAGATTGAATAACACGTCTCCCATGTCTCTAAAAATGAATAGTTGTCATTATGTCTTCTCATTTAATTGAACTTACTGGAAAGTTTTTATTTTGTGCTTCTACAGTACTGGTGTTTGAAAGGGTGTTTAACATCATTATCTTCAATCATCTCAGTTAGAATGTATATTTCACCAGAGACTGTTTTTTGCAATATAATTACAGTATGTATTTCAAATACAATCTCTAATATCTGCTGTTGCAATAGTTATAAAATAAATTCACTGTACCGCGTAAATTATTGAGTAACGTTTGTCTTACTACGCCAAATCAAATTTTCATCTGCAGTGAGGTTTACTGATATGAATTGTAATCGATAGTGGTTATGAGGTTGAGTCGTTTTATTACTCCTTAGTCCTTGAGTTTGAGAGTTCCTTCGTAACCATGTAGCATCCCTAAAACATGAACTTATGAATTTCACCGTAGATTTAATGATTGCAACTGACAATTGCTGACTTTCGTCACAGGTTATGTACTATAATGTTTCTAAATGAAAGCTAGTCAAACACTTGCGTTTCCACTCAAAGTATTGAGGAGACTACTTTTGTCACTGGTCTTAATGATTAACAAGAATCGAAGAAACAATACGGTTAGATATTATATTTCGCTGTTTTAATAACTTTTATTACCCCATTGCACAGCTGATTTGCTGACTTGGCTGTTTAGAAAGCCAGTTTTAACGACTTCTCATTACTCAGCCATCGAACAAGCAGTAAGTTGATGTTGATGAATGTACTTAATGATAATAGAGCTAAGAATATATTTCAGGAGCAACTAGGAAGACAGGTAGGCGACCATGCAGTGAGTGATACTCACCCTGAGGCAGCTTGGAATGATATAAAAAGGCTGTGGGAACAGCAGTGATATCTGCTAGCAAGGTAAATCACAGGGTTAGAACGAAGCCGTGGATCTCAGTAGCATCCACTGAACAGATAGACGCTCGTAAACTCATCCCACCTGGCTCTGAACATGATGAAAAGCGAAGTCAGCTTAGACGGAGGCTGATAAAAAGCCTACGCAATGATCGTGAACAGTGGTGGGTGGCGGAAGCAAGAGAGATGGCAAAGGCAGCGGTGATAAACAACAGCAGACAGTTGTTCCGACTTATCAAGGACACTGGTATTAGGAATCCGAATGTGAGTGAGACTATCTCGGAAAAGGATGGTCTTATTATTGATTCTCAATCCAGTATATTGGATCGATGGGCAAAACACTAGGGATAAGTTCAATTGGCCTTCGGCTACACTTCGGTTACCCACGATCTGCAGTCATCCTGAAGGCAAATCGACGTAAGCCCTCCGACTCTTTATGAAGTTGAGAAAACGGTAGGGAATCTGAAGCGAGGGAGAGCAGCGGGTCCTGATCAATCGGCCCCTGAGATTTTTAAGGATGATGGTCCAGTTTTAGCAGCTAGATTGACTGAGACCATAGGTAGAATCTAGGAACTGGGAGTAATCCCATCTGACTGGTCTCAGTCGCTGATTGTCCCGATTTATGAAAAAAGACAAAAATCCTCTTGTGACAATCACAGGGTAATAAGTCTAACTAATATAGTGTCTAAATTGTTAGCCTCGATTATCCTTAGACGCTTAACTAGAGCTCGTGAAGAGCAGAGTAGAGAAAACCAGTCTGGTTTCAGACCTGGACGTGGCTGTATAGACCAGATATTCACACTACGACAGATCCTGGATCACAGACACACATTTAGGCATCTGACAATAGTAGTATTTCTCGACCCGTATAAGGTTAGTGTACTTGTTTGGTACACCTTTTAATGACAGACGCTGCCACGGAACATCACGATCGACGGAGTCGAATGCCACTTTAGGGCTGTCTGACCACTTTGATAACATGTCAGATACCTGCTGAGAATAAAGATCCTGAATCATTTATCCCAAACATATTCACTTGTAGCATGATTCCTTGGCCGCCTTGTCTACCTGATTACTGACATTTCAGTTGTTTCTGACAAATACAGGTTTGTTCAGTATTTCCTCGAGCGTAAATGGTGCCGTAATGTAGTGTTCTGGTTCGCCTATCGTGATGGCAGTCGAGCCATATTGACTGGGACAATTGTTCTTTTCGGTCCAACTATGGCAAATACATCGATTGATAGGCAAGGCGTTTTTTTAGGTGACCAGTACCTACATTGATTCTGCTTTCTGATAATTGAAGCAGGGTGGGCCTAAAAATATCGCGCCTGACCTAACCACAAGAATTTTCGTCTCTCGTAGTATGGTTGATTGAGTATAGAGCTAACATATCAAAAAAACTCCGCTTAAAGGTAGTGTGATTTGCCTCAAGCAGCAGTCCTTTGGGCTTTGTAGTTACGCTTTCTCCATTACCGCTGATACTTCTAATATCTCTACCACTATGGGATTTGAGCTAACAGTTGCGTCTCTGTGCTAATATGATATGGCAACCTGAACTTAGATACGTACAAACCAAGTTCTACTTTGTAACTGACTGACTGGCGTTCATGTCACTAAGACTGTAACACAATTTGATTTTCAGGTCAATGGAGAGGAAATGACTTTTCACAGTGTGTGCAACTAGGTGAAATCTACCCTTATACCCCTAACACCACCTGAGATAACCTTGTTCATCTTTAAATCGTTCCATAAATATTTCACTGATAAATTCGCATTGCTACTAGTTATTAGATTCTTTTTTGTTTCTTGCATACTGTTCACAAATATCTAGTTCCTTAGTAGCGTTTTCTCCATTTTAACGTTCTTTGTGTTACATAAACGTAGCATTTAATTTTGTCCTAATCGCTCTTATTTCTAAAAGAACTATGGAACAGGATCCATATGTGGTGCTTGGTTCAACGGTTTCTGATGTTAGTGATCTGAAGAAAGATATTGTTAATCTTGGGCGTGTTTTAAGTGCTTGTGATTTCCAAAACGTTTGTGGTGACGTAGATGGTATCAAAGAAATGATAAAGGATGGGACGACTTCGTGTAGCACAATTTTTTCCGATCTCAAAAGCATCAAAAGCCGTCTATCTGATACCTCTAGTGCCTTTTCATCGTACAGTGAACAGTTGAGGACCATATTTTCAGATTTTGAAAAATTCTCAGAACTTTCCAAAGTAACATTAGCTGAAAACTCATGCCTAAGTTCTGTGAAAACAGATCAAGATTTCTGTCATCTGTTAAGCAAACTGGCTAGGGGTTTACAAAATGGATTGTTCGCTCATATACGGGAATTGAGTACATTTTCTTTAGGCGATAGCCTGAATAAATTTATTGACCAATATAATGAGCTGAATATAAAGTATAACGAACTGTTAGCAATGTCATCTCAAATACCTGTAAAGCAGTCAAGTCCTACTGTGCTTCTCGATCAAACTGCTGTTTTTGAGATGCTTGAAAGAGAGATGAGCAATTCCGCCAAAGAAGTTGAACATGTTCGTTCCAGTTTTGAATCTCGTCTAAAATCGATCACTGCTGACTGGGAATGTGAACGGTCGAAGTTGATGACGGATTTGCACAAAAGTGAAGGTAAGCCTTGCTTACTGTATTCATATGTTTATCTTCACAGTTTTTTCCTCATTTTCAACCTATGAGGTTGGTTGTCGCTAGTTGGTTCACTTAGAACATAATCATGTTTTCTGGGTTCATCTTTAACAGAGTGAACAAAAATGTAATGTAGTAGGATGTCTAGTTCGTCAACTTTAGATAATATTAAAATTGTAATTGCCAAATAAACCATATACATTATTACTGTTGTTCATGTGGACTTAAATTAATCATTGTTTTATCGAATATGTCACACTCTACGTGTTAAGCACCTTACAAAGCTTATGTTGAGTGACAGATAATTTCAAGTTTCACTAGTCCTCAGTGTTGGTCGAATTTTATCAGGTGATTTGTTGGTTCATACCCCATGGAGGGGCACCGCTTTGTTCAAGATTTTAGATGTTCCTTGATAACGAGTGTCACGTAGTAGGAAACCTTGTTATCGGATATTTTGCTGACTCCCCCCAACCACTCAACAACACTGCGAGCTTGTTCCTAGGGTGAGATGTCTTCTTTAAGCCATATAGTTAAAGTCCATTTTGCATATAACAATAGCCACATACCTTAGTACGGTGTTGAACAGGAATAGAAAGAAGACTGTGAGTATCCTACTATCGACGTATTCGTAGTAGCTTTTTAGTATCAATAAATGAGATTACAATATGTGTATACTTTCTTTGTGTTTGTTCAGTGAGGACGGTTGTTGTGAAATATAGTCTATGAAAACAGTAGATATACGTAGGCTGAAGATTTTTGATCATAGATATCTTCGAAATAATGTTCATGTGTTGTTAAACGATCGAGTTGACGATTCTGAGGTTATCCATCAAGTATTAGGCAAAGATGGCAAATCGTTTGACAAGGTTGCGAATCTTTTGATTGACTGAACGGGTTGAGATTTGTGATATACACATCTAACCACTTACTACCTTGACAAACGATGTTAGCTGCTGTAATTGTAAGTTGGAAGAAAGCTGGAGACAATCATATCAAAAACTTGTCATCAATTCGTGAGGTCACTGGCTGTTTATCTGAGTCCCGTTGGTAGATGCAGAATGTCTTGTTGGGATGGTCTATGCTGTAACCGAGTTCAGTGATAAGTTTATTTAATTAAAGCACACAAACATTGATACGAGTAGGCACCATAATATATATGCACCACTCAAGTCATTAGTTAGTTTGTGTGGACTATGATACAGTCTGAGTTTCCAAACTGAAGCAGTGATTGCGGCTTTCAAGTAAGTTTGTTAAGAATTGATCACAGTGGCGCAGACTGATTTACTGTTTATGGTCCTTTAGATTAAATCATTCCAGTACTCCTTTATTCATATTCGTATATCAGTATGGTTGTATTATTTTGACTCCTTTAGTATTTATCTGTTCGTGTCAGTGTAGTATGGTGAACTTGGCCAGCGCACATATGTGACAGGCATGATGTTGATATTGACTGACCGATCGAAAGTGTTGTCCTACGTATGTATATATGTGTGTATATGTTCTTTTTCAGTGAGAATTGAAGAACTGCAACAATCAATCGAAGCTAAAGAGACTGCCTTTTCCAAATTTAAAGGTACGTGTGAGATTTAATTAATTAAATAATTATTGTTAACTAATATTTCTCATCTTGATCGTAAATGGTTTTGAAGGAATGTGTTTACTTAACTCCATTCAGTAAATAAATATACTGCAGTTGTCCCTGACTTCCAGTCAACTTGAATGGCAAGTTGATGTAATTCCTCCAAATGTTAATGAGGTTGAAAAGGTTGTAGGCAATATTAAGGTGAGGCAGAGCAGCAGGCCCTGATAGATTGAGCCCTGAGAATTTTAAGGATGGTGATCCAATTTCAGTAGTGAGATTGACTGAGATCTTGGTTAAGATTTTGGGACTGGACGTGATTCCATCTAACCGGTCTCAATCACTGTTTATCACAGTTGATGGTAAGGGTAAAAGTCCTATTGTGACAAACACGGAGGGATCCGTTTGACTAATGTAGCGTCTAAGATATTGACTTAATAATACTCCGAAGCAAAACTAAAACCTTCTAACAGGAGATTCGTTTGTTTACCCAGAATATGCAGATGAAAATTCCATTTGGTGAAGATATTGACAGAATGCGAGGTCTTCTAACAACCGTCGAAATGCAAAATTTTGCCTCAGGATCTGCTTTGACATGGCGCATAATTGTTTGCAATGGTGCAGATATATCCATTCTTTATCTTCTCTCAAATTCTAATCTTATGAATCCCCCATGAATCTCATCTCGAATTTATTGCACTGGATTATACTTCTTGGATAATATCTTTGATCCCTAATCTTCTACATCACCGCTATGTCTTTACTACCTCTCCTACTATTGGATTTGAATTGACAATCGGGACTTTGTGTGCTAATGTGTTTATGGCATTTTGAACTGACGTACGTATGTACGTACGAAGTTCTACATTGTAGCTGACTGACTGAGATGAAAATCCCTCCTTAAATACAATTTGCTAGTAGGAAATCAAGTGCAAAATAATATATTGATTGAATGTAATTTTCGTTCATTCGATTTTCACATTTTAATTCAGTGTAACTTTCATTCATTATAATGTTTATGTATATGAATTCTGTGACATTCGTTCAATATGATACTCTCCTTAATTACAAATCACTACGATTAGATTTGTTTGTAAATAAATTAGAATGATGAAATAAAATTCTCCTTGAAAAAAAATTATCTGTGGGTGAACGGTAAAGCGGGCATCACTGTAAAGCGTAAAGCGCATCGATCCGCATAAATAAAATCAATTGTAACATGTATTTAGTGTTATTTGGTCACAGTGTTTGTAAGTGAACATTAATTTATCGCATGTCTTTCTCATGTTTTCCTTTTATTTACTGTCTTTGTTAGGCATGGCAGGTATTTAATCAACATGTACGTATAGTAATTATTTAAGAATTAAGGTTTAAAAAGCATCAATACTTTTTTTTGTTAAAGATGAAAAGGAAACTTTTATTTTCTGCATAACATGGTTTTCCGTTGTTGACGTGGTTTTGTCGGTCAGTCAGTTGTGTGACCTGGAACTCGCTATATATGCACATGAGTTCAAGCTGCCATATCACATTGGCACAAAGGAATGAGATTGTCAGTTTAAATTTCATAGTTGTATAGGTTGTAGTAAGTGATGTGGCGTGTACTATTCACAACGTGGTAGTGTTCAGTGGATGTACATCAGAGTGTCATCCTGAGGTTACTGCCGGAATGACGTGTATCGTGTCCGGATGTATAGCATAATAAGAGTGTTTTGAAGACTAAAATATATGTGGAAAGGCAAGAATACGTTTGTTTTGCAGAAGGATTATTGAGGATAAAGTGTATACATCATGGCTAGCAAATGGCATCTTTCGTTGATTACATGGCAGTATTATCGGTAATGGAAAGGATTAAGGATGGAAGATATGATCCAAGGAAATATAAATCAGTGAAGTAGATCTAAACAAAGGAGAAAACAAGGTCATAAGGAATTTAGAAGAATAAGTTTGAGAGGAAGGTAGTGTATGGACTCTCCTACACTCTGTTGCGAATGATTTGGAACCATGTCATTTAAACTCTTCGACTGGTTATGATCGTCTCGCGCACCCCAACCAAGATAGTCTACACGTACTAACATGACTTGGTCCGATTGTCGATGACTTTACGTATTGTTGTCATGTTTTTGTTTGCCCCCCTAGCTTTCTTCCAGTATACTCCTACACTAGACGACGGCGTAGCTGGTCGAGGTAATGGTTGGTTAGGCATACATGTAGCACTTGTTCCAACCACCCAAATGAATGACAATTGATTACCTCATCAATCAATTGTATAATAGATTTGTGTCAGTAGTGATTTTGTTCTTTTTTTCCGCCTTTATTTATTTATGAAAACGTTTAGGTGATTTAGATGAGTTAGCACAACAATTCTGTTCAAAAGAAAATGTTCCAGTAGGTCCGAATCTATCTTTAGATCAATTGAGATCATTTCTGAATAGACTTGAGAAGGTATGTTACATTTGTAATGATGTTACACTTGTACTGTCTCATGCAATCATAATCATAGTAACAATTATTGTTTTCATACTACATTCCTTGCAGACTAACATATATTTTCATCATTATTAAGCTAACTAACCAGGAAAGACAGGACGAATCCAACAAACTTTACATTATCACAACGGAGTGACTGAATTAAGATGTTGCTACTCCACATATGTAGCCAAAAGTGTAGACTGCCTCTGGTTGGGGTGCGTGAGGTGATAGTAATCGCTGGTTAGAGGAGACCTTGAATGCCATGGGTGAAAACTGTTTACAATGGCGCAGGTGCATCCATCCATTTGTGCTCTCTCAAATTCTAATCTTCTGAATTTCTCATGACTATTTTGTTCTCTTTTTTATAAGTGATTCCTTTGGGGTATACATCTCGAATGATGTAGTCGATCAATAATCTTTTTGACTACTGCTAATACTTCTACTACCTCTACTACTACTTTGGGATTTGAATTGACAATGGCGTCTTTGTGTTGATGTGGTATGACAACTTGAACTAATGTACGTATGTCGGAAGTTTTAAGTTGTAACTGACTGACTGACTATTTAGATGGATTCATTATTACTACTATGAAGTCTGAAAGCATCATAGTTCTGAAAACGAAACTACTCCACTAAAAAAACTATGATGAACAAAATGGTTTTGGTTCGTTCGTATCAATACAATATACATGTGAAAGATATAAATAGACAAGACTTTAAACTTGACTGACTTGCAAATAATACCATTGAATGTCTATCCTGTAGTGTTGAATACAAATTTTCTAAACCTGATGTTTGTGATGATTGCTATGCGAAAATGATAAGACGTGTATTATAGGTAAATTGATTGAATTGTTCCCCTTCAACAAACAACACAAAAGTGAACAGGCTGCAGTTTCTTTTTTAAATCTTCTCATTTTGTTGTTGTTATTATTACTATCTATTACTATGCATCATTTGCTTTTTCTTGTTGATGACCTTTATCCTATTTTCATATTATTGTTTTATTTCGATAAGCTTGTGTGTATTTTACTATTGTGGAATCCGTCGTCCCATTTTAGACTTGTTCATTGATTGGATTTGCCTGTATTAATTAATGTTGACACTGAGAAGCAGAGAGCTGTGAAACCTTAGTTCTTTCTGTCTATGGTTTCAAATATCACTGTGTTATCCACAAAGACATATTAGCGTAAATACACTTACTGTTTATGTTCCAGTCAATCTTAAATTGCGGTATCTTATTCACAAGGTGTTGTAATCTTATCATTGCTACTACATTATTCCGATTTTCATTTCGTTATTTTCATGTGACATAGCAACTTAAGCCAATGTTACACTGTCTAAGTCGATCAAACTGAGTCCACCATATGATTGACTGTTGTTGACTTCATTATGAATGTCAGTGTTGAGAGGCAGCAGGTACTACTACTCAGCTGACTGACTGACGATTCAGCTGAAATTGAAATTTAAAAAAATGCAATTAATGAGTATCCATTGTGTTATGCATTTCATTTACAACTTGAATTTGTGAAATCGATAAATTTTTTTGTTTTGTTTTGAAAATGTCTAAATGATGCGTTTTTGTATGCTTCTTTCGTTATATTGATTATTCTAGAAATGTCCATGGATTTGGGATTTATTTTATGATAATTCCGATGAAATACCACAATCCATATTACCCAATCCTATTGAACAGGTAAGGAGTTTTGGATCAAAATTAGTCGATCAGTGTTGCATTGATCATCATCACTAATGACGCT